TTCCTTCACCAGGGCTAGAAACTTATGGGTGGAAATTTGTTGAAAGTGGATTTGGGGTAAACATTAGGGTATGTTTCTAACAGATGTTCAAACTGCCTTGGGAGGTGTGGGGTTTTCCGTAGGTGGCTTCTGGGGTTGACGCCGATTCAAACAGCTGTTCAGCCTGGATTGCTTCCTTTTCAGAAAGAAGCCTCAAGGCAGGGAAGTCTACAGGAAGCAACGGGAGCAGAGCAAGCACTGCAGAGAACTCCGGCACTAAGGATCATTCTGGGCACGCTTCTGACTGGAAGACTTGTGATTTTGTTGTTCTGATTTTAAAAGGAGACAACAAATCACAGCCTCCTAGCCAGCACGGGGCCACCTCCTCTCAGCCACTCACGCCAGCTGCCAACCACTCAACGCTGCCATCTTTTCTTGTAGCCAAGCCCTCGTTCTTCCTAACCAGGGAGTATCACTGCTGCCATTTTGGATCGGTCACTGTCATTCCTGGCCTAGAATACCTGATTGGCTTGGTGGAATTTACATTTGTACTTGTAAAAAACAAGGAAACACCTGCAAAACAGGTGCCAGTCCTGGGACTGCCTTCCAAGGTGGAATGGGCCAGAGTGTTAGGAATGGGCTCGGCCGTTGTCCTTGGTGTGTTTTCTGAAGGCAGAGTTGCACTGACTCTTTGACTCAGTGACGGCTGGGAAATGGGGAGGGGGTCAAGAGGTAGAGAAGGGGGGCTGTTCAAGGCCACCGCCCCCAGATTCTCAGGGAGACCATGGGAACAGGCGGGGAGGGGGGGAAGAGAAGGGAGGGGGCAAAGGAGAGGTGGAATCAGAACCGGTGAACTCATGTCACGGCATCGGGATGAAAGCGCCACAGTCGGGGCCTCCATGGATCCCAAAGGATGGGTGGCCTGTTCTTGAAAAGGAAGCATTTTAGGAACTTGAGGAAGCAGTTTCTAGTTTGGAGTCAACAAGCCCCTCCATCTGTGGCCTGTGAATTGGCAATTAAGAGCTATTTTGCAACCAGCTCCCAACGCAAACTTTCCATGTCTCAGGAAGGTTTGAGAAGCAGCTTTCTTCTGTGCATCAGATTAGATTGGCATTCTTTTTTAATTGGCTAATTTCACACACAATGCAGAACTCGGGGTGCTCCTGGGGCTGCAGACAGACCATCCTGGGACCCTAGAAATGCTGCAGTCTTTCCCCTAACTACTGAGGGGTTGCTGTTTTGCAGGCCTTTATGAGGTTTTCCCCGGCTTCTAAAGAGTTGATGTGCCTTTTTAGAGACTGAGCTGCAAGCAGAAAACATCTAATACCAGCTGGTCTTCTGGCCCCACCAGTCAGCTGAATCTGCCTTCAGAACCAGCAGACTGACACTGGTCTCCCCACACCTGGGACACCCAGCTCTGTCCTCCAAATGGCCCCAGGGCTTGTGGGGACCCGGCTCCTAGACGTTTTGTTAGCAGGAACGGCGAATTCCTCCTCCAGCTTCTCAGCTTGCTCTGAGCTGACCTGCGCCAGCGCATGATTAATCCTCCCAGCAAGAAACACATGGCTCCCTGGTGAGAGGCAAAGTATTTTGGGGAGGTTTGGTCTCAGATGGGAATTTCAGAGCCCTTTGCTCCAGAAAGCCCCTCCTTCTGGTCAGCACAAACACACCAGAGATGGTTGCTAGACTGAAAGAAACTCCTGGAAAGCCTCGAGCCGCTCTTTGCGCGGAGAGGTAGGTCAAAACCACTGCCTGCATTTTGGGATTTCTGTCCAGGGCGGGGCAGCAAGGACTGCGAAGATGAACGCTTGCTCTGTACTGCAACACGCATGCAGCCCATTGGCACCATGCCTGAAGCCACGGATGGAAAACAGTCGAGGCTTAAAGTCTGGCCCACATGGCCAATGCCTGAATATCCGGCTCATTTCACTGCCCGAGAGGCAGGCTTCTCAGCCAGGTGGCCCAGGCATCCTTGGCCCCTTACAGTTTTCTCAAATAAAGGCATGGGTATAGGTGTTTCCCCACCTGCTGCTTTCACCTCAAGTGCTCTGCCTGGGAGGTTTTTTCCTGAAATCAGGTACCCCCCGTCCCCTGTCCATCCACCCTGTTATACATACGGCGTCTCCACAGGAGACACGTGCATTCGAGCGCATGTGTCGGCATAGCCCCATCTGTGCTCGTTTCTGCTTTCACCCTGCAAGCCTCAGCCCTGGATCTTTTCCATACCTAGCAAACACTTGTTTGTGCAGAATTGGGCAATTGTTCCTGACGTCTGTCCAACAAGAAAGGGGACAGAAAATGTCTGGCCATCCGTAAAGAGGAATCAAACTCACTTCCCATCTTTCCAGCAGGCCAAATCAAAGGGGCTGATGTCTACTTCCTTTAGCACGGACTTGATGGTCTCCTGAACATTGAATGGTGCTTTTAAAAATAAACTGTGCAGCACCTTTGCTCCTAGGTTTGGATCGACGGGGGCAATGGTTCTCCGTCTGCAGATAGTTGCCGATGGTGATTTGCCTTGTCCCTCTGAAAACTTGGGTGACTCGGAAGACTCTCTGGGAGAGAAGTACACAATGCACGTGGGCAGACACAGCCTCACAATCCATGCTTCTGACGGGCTGCTCTCCAGGAGCCAAGGGCCATCTGCAGATCCGCTTGCCAGCCGAAAAGAGGCTTCCGGTGTGCCCAATTGCCCCCCACTAATGGACACTTCAGATGGAGATGTCAGTGAATCTCGGTTCCATAGTAACAGAGATGCAGCCGGATGCATCACCCGGGCTTGTTTCTTCACAGCGCCCGGTTGCCCGAGTTCAAGCATCCTTGTGATCTCATTCACACCCCTCACCTGCCCCTGGTTACCTTTTAACACCAACAGGACGAATGGAGACGTGGCAGGTGAAACTTTTTTGAGCCTGGCAAATGGGGCTGGCCCTGCCAGAAGGTGACATGAGTCCTTTGTCCCTGGCAGTGAATTTGAGTGGTCATGAAAGGGAAGTTCTGGTTGATTTGCTTGGTTATATTTTTAAGTGCTATATTTTTAAGGATAGGGATGAGGAGATTTTCGACCTTTGCAACAGAGGAACTTGGCCAGTCTTGGAGACTAGCACCCTAACTTGGCTGGGGTGATGAGGCAGAGATGCCCTCCTTCTGCATCTTTCTGTCTGCGGGATTTTTTTGACACCAAATGCCTTACTTTCCCCGTCCATATATTCCCTTTTGGGTACCAACAGAGATGTTCTAAGGAGACGGGCTCCTTAAAGACATATGCAGAAACTTCACTATTATTTTTGTCATGTGGGTCTGAGCCCCAGACCTTTCTAGTAGTTAGTCCTGACTCCATGAGACTGCAGATTGTAACTTCGGCTTGTCCAACAGCCATTAAATGCATCACCATTTTCCCCACTCTTGGCCCAAGCTGTTTGAGCAGATGGTGCCCATAATTGGGTTCCCAGTTGGGCTGGCCCTGAAGCTCCTTTCGGCATCCTGTTGGCTGTCCACTTATAAGTAGGGTGGCCACTTGCGAATCTTTAAAAAAGAGGATCGCAGGACACCAATTTCTAGATTGGGTGCAAAGTCACACTTGAGGGGCATGGGACAACTCACTATGCGCATACCATGGTAATTTATACATACAGATGAGAATTTAGAGAAGAAATTTACTATTTAAGTGGAAATACACTGCACTCTGGGCTAGACAACAGCAATGTGGAGGAAACGGTTTAGGAGGGTGTCTTTTCCAGCCTCAGCCCCATCTGTGGAATGCCAACCGACCACTGACTGCAGCTTAAGCCTGAGAGAGGAAAAGAATCACGTCTTCTCTCCTTTCCCCACCTCGCCCCGCCCCACCTCCATTTCCCTGCAGATTTTAGATCGGTCAGCTCCTTGGGGCAGAGACCCATCCTCCTTTTATGAGAAGTGCTGGGAGAGATTCAGCAGCTCACCCGGGCTGTGCTGGGGGCGAGAAACGATGCAGCTGAGTGTCATGAAATGGGTTTACATCACACGTGTTCCATGCCCAGTAAGGGGTGGAAGATGGCCCTTCAAGCTGTAGTATTTATTCTGCGCCTAGTGATGACTTAGTATTCATGTTTTTATGAGCTGAGAAAATGGCCGTAATACTGTGTTGTTAGAAGACTGCATTACATGCTCATGTTGTCACAACACATAATATTCCTGATGACTTAAAGTGATGCATGACATTACACTGGGTAAATCCATTGTTATAATATGCTGATATTATTATTATTATTATTATTATTATTATTATTATTATTATTATTACATTTCTGTGCCGCCCCTTGCCGAAGCTTCGGGGCGGCTTACAACACAATAACGCAGTGCATTGCATAATTATACAGTATATTATTATGCATTATATCATTTCATTGCAATAAATGATTTGTTGTTGTGAAATTGAATTTATTGATAGGAAGTCCTCAAAAGCCACACATTAGAATGATTGTTCACTTTATTACGGTTTTTGCTGTAGTTAAAACTAGTATTGTTTTTCTCAGCCTTCCACAACGGGGCGCCCTCGAGAAGTTTCGGACAACAACCTCCATCATGAGATGGGCGTTGTTGCGCACGCCTTACGAGGGCGCTCTGTTGGGGAAAGCCGTATTAGTCGCCGAGTGGGGGGACGAACAACATTTCCCAGGCCCCCTCCCTCCTATCCCAGGACCCTTCGTTCTCCGCCCCCGCGATTGGGCGAGCAGGAACTCTTTCCGCGAGAACTCGGCCTCCAATGGTCTCTTTGTGCGGCTGCTGAACAACATTTCCCACTCGCTTTAGCGCGCGCCGCTCCTGAGCTCCCGTTCGCCCTTTGCTCTATCCCTTGCGGGAAACGTAGTCCCCGCCTCAAATTCTGCCTTGGAATGTTCAGGGCGACCGCCGAGAGGAACTAAAACTCCCAGAGTGCCTTGCGGCATTTCCCGCCCCTTTCGCGGGGAGAGCGTCAGGACAGCCATTTTGTTTTTGCGCGAGAAGGCGTAAGATGGCGTCGTGGGGAAAACAGGGTGAAGGTTGCTGGTACAGCTGTAGAGTCAGCAGCTGTGGCAGGGGAGGAAGCGGGTGGCCCAGTTGCTAGGCTACCAGATAAGGAGCCCTCTCCCAAGGCTATCCACCCGCCTACACACATACCCTGCCCACAAACACATCACCACAGGGAGGGAACCCCCCTCCCTTGCCCTACCCCCCAGGCCTTTTTAAGGAGCGGGAGAGGCGCTGCTCGGTAGGGCCACTGCTGGTCCATGGGGACGAGGTTGCTGCCGTGTCCAGTTCACTCACCATGGATCTCTGCCTGGCGGTCTACAACGCCGCCCGGGAAGGGAAGGTGAGACTCCTCGAAAAGCTCCTGGGCAGCCAGAGCCGGGAGCTGCTGGAGGTGCTGATGGCTGGACCCACCAGTGGGGAAGCTGCCGGAGGCACTCCGCTGCTGATTGCCTCCCGCTACGGTCACTGGCAGGTGGTGGAGTACCTGGTGGATCGCTGCCATGCCCGGGTGGATGCGAGTGGCTCAGTCGACTTCGACGGGGAGACCATTGAGGGTGCTCCCCCGCTGTGGGCTGCCTCGGCTGCCGGCCATATGTCCGTTGTCCGCAGCCTGATGAAGCGGGGAGCCTGTGTGAACCAGACGACAAGGACCAACTCCACCCCGCTGCGTGCAGCCTGCTTTGACGGGCACCTGGAAATTGTGCGCTACTTGGTCGGGGAGAAGGGTGCCGATCTGGAGGTGGCCAACCGTCACGGGCACACCTGCCTGATGATTTCTTGCTACAAAGGGCACTCGGAGATTGCCCGGTACCTGCTGGAGAGGGGGGCAAATGTGAACCGCCGCAGCGTCAAAGGCAACACAGCCCTGCACGATTGTGCCGAGTCCGGCAGCTTAGATATCATGCAGCTGCTGCTTCAATCCAAAGCACGGATGGAGAAGGACAGCTACGGGATGACCCCGCTGCTGGCTGCCAGTGTGACCGGCCACACTAATATTGTGGAATTCCTGATCAAGGCGGCGTTGGAGGAGCCGGCAGCCAGAGACGATGGAAAGCAGGAAGCAGGCAAGACAGGGAGCAAGCAAGACAGAAATCAAGGAGCAGTAATCCGTAAGCAAGGCTCAGCCGCTGCTGAACTTACGGTTCCCTGCACCAGACAGGCGGCGGTGGAAGCACTAGAGCTTCTGGGAGCCACCTTTGTGGACAAGAAGCATGACCTCCTCGGGGCTCTCAAATACTGGCGGAGGGCCATGGCTCTCCGTTACAAGGATGGACAATACCTCTCCAAGGGAGAGCCTCCGAAGGTGGTGCTGGCTTATGATTACACCCGAGAGGTGAGCACCATGGAAGAGCTGAACTCCTTGATGACCGAGCCAGATGAAATGCGAATGCAGGCGCTGCTGATTCGGGAGCGTATCCTCGGCCCGTCCCATCCAGATACCTCATATTACATCCGTTATCGGGGGGCCGTCTACGCTGACGCAGGCAACTTTGCACGCTGCATCAGGCTCTGGAAGTACGCCCTGGAGATGCAGCAGAAAAACCTGGAGCCCCTGAGCCCCATGACAGCAAGCAGCTTCCTGTCTTTCGCCGAGCTCTTTTCCTACGTGCTGCAGGACTGCACAAAGGCCATCCTGGCCACCCAGCTGGGCTTCTCCGACCTCATGCTGGTGCTGTGCAAAGGCGTCCGTGAGATCGAAAGAGCCCTGCTGCAGCAGAAGGACCCCGTGGCCGATTGTGCCCAGTTCACCAAAGCCATGACCATCCTCCTGCACCTGATCTTTCTCATGCAGAAAGTGGAGGGCACCACGGAACAGGAGCACCAGAAGCGCCAAGCCATCTACTGCTGGCTGAAGTGCAACCCCCGGGGCAGGAATGGCTTCACCCCTTTGCACATGGCGGTGGACAAGGACACCACCACAGTTGGCCGCTACCCACTGGGGAAGTTCCCCTCCCTCCATGTGACCAGCCTGCTTCTGGAGTGTGGGGCCGACCCCGACTGTCGCGATTATGACAACAACACCCCACTGCATGTGGCCGCCTCCAACAACTCTCCTGCCATCATGACCGCCCTCATAGAGGCAGGGGCCCACGTAGACACCACCAATGCCTTCGGACAGACGGCCCATGAGCTCCTGGACAAGAAGGTCGTCATGAAGTCCACAATGCAGCCATTTAACTACGTCACCTTACAGTGCCTTGCTGCCCGAGCTGTGGGAAAGCACAAGATACCGTACAAGAGAATCCTCCCAAATGAGCTGGTGGCCTTCATTGAGCTCCACTAGAGGAGGGAGCCCCCGCAGTCCTCTTCCTGCATCTCTGATGGGGGACGCTGGGCAGGTGGGGGGCAGCTTGCCGGCTTCCCGTGATTTGCATCTTAAATGCTTTCATTTGCACTAGGACAGGCTAGACAGTCTCCCTCCCTTTTTCCACTGCAGTGTTTAAATGTCCATAGTTGTTCTTTGCTCAGCCCTGGACAGGCACCAGCACTTGGCACAGCAGTGGGATCCACTGCCAATGCCCACACTGACCCCACCCCCCTTATTTTAGTGGCCTGGCACAGTGAGCCATGCCAGGCAGCTGGACTGAGCCATGTTGCGTTTTCTGTGAGGTCCCCAACCCAGTCCTGGACTGACCCCTAGGCTGCAGGGTTCTTTGCCAAGAGGCACTGAAAGTCGGGGCAGACAGGCTGGGAGACGGGTCACAAGTGCTGCTGACCCCCTGCCGACTCTTTCTTTGTACACACTTGCACTCACACTCACTGTGCAGATAGATTTGCTCACTGAAACACAGCCTGCCTTACCAGCTTTCGAGTTACTGAGCTTTCACCCTCCTTCCCACTCCTTGAAAATAGGGAAGTAGAAGTCAGAATTTTAGGCAGTCCCTACAGTCTTACAGGTGTTTTTTCTGTAACAGTGTTTTTTTGACTTAGCTCTGTAGTCAGCCAAGAGAAAAAGTTGTCCGTTTCTCTGCCGGAAGTTATTTGCAGTTTGCACGCTTGAACCAAGCCACGTGTGGTGTCGATTGTATTCTGGGTTTGATTTCTTGTTTTGAATGGTCTCACATCTTAGCATCTGTTAAGATTTTGCTGCTTGTTTTAAAGACTGGCGGTTGGTGGTGGTGGTTTTTTTTTTCTTTCCATTCGGATAACTGCACTTTTCACCCAACCAGGGAGTCAGAAAATCCCCCAAATTCTGAAATCAGGTTTAGGATCCTCTCAGCCCCTTTCCCTCTGGTAACAAGAGAATGGGTAGCGTCCTTGGAGCTAAAAGAATAGCAGGGAATCATTTGGGAGATCGGGGTCATGGTATCTTCCAGAACACCTGGGATATGGGTTTTCCAACTGGTTGCAGATAATTCTTTGCATTGCTCAGGGTGGCAACTAGTGGTCTGGTGGAGATTTTCACTCCATAGAGTCCTCTGAAAGTGCCTGAGAAAAGATAATTTTTTGGCCAGCTTGGTCCCTTAATAGCTGTCTTAGTCCTCCAAAGTTCTAAACGTGATGGTTTGGTCTCTGCAGCAGACATTAACCCATTCAGCACTCCACTAAAAGGGCAAATAAGCTTTTTAAACAAGCAACCCCATTTAGCATTGCAGGGCATTGATGTAGCAATTTTGAACACAACATTTAATCCCCCCCTTTTTTTTGCTGCCGAACACCACAGCGACCCACTCCAATCAAGTTGCAGAACAAAGCGGGGGAAGCTCATTTCAAGGTCCAGGACACAGAAAGCGCATCCCTGGAAGTGAAGGTTGTGTTGTGTGTGCGGTCTCTGTTCTCTCGGCGAGAAGTCAGGGCATGGGGGAGACACAGACTGGCCGGAGGCTCCCTGGAATGGATCATCCCCAGGCTCGGTTTTACTCATCCAGGCTGCACGGCAGCATAAGCGCTCAGTAAAACCGGCTTGGCAGGAGCAGATGCGCCGATGCCGTTCCCCGCACTGCAGTGTGTGAAGTTAGCTGTGAAGAAGGAGGGCTGCACCCACCGGCACAGTGGGCTTGGGCTTGCCCCACTTTGTGGGCAGAAGTACCCATAGCCATTCAGCTGGAGGTCTCCGTTGGAGCGAGCCCCCCTTTTAAAGCCCCTTACTCAGTCCTGCAAAGGGGAAACAGTGGAGGGCATTCCTTCGTTAGACCTTTCAGCTGTAATTTAAAAGGGAAGAAGGGGGTGTAGTTTTAGGGGGTGGGTGAAAGAATACGCAAGATTTTCTATGGGCCAGATCCATACTTGGTTGCAAGCCCAATCTGCCCGAGAGGAGAGGTACGTTGGCCCTGCAGCAGCCAGTTGCAACTGCTCCCAGCCTGGAACAGACCTGGATGCCTGGCACTCTCGGCGGAGGTGCTTTGCTGCTTGTACATCCAGCCCCCAAACCGGCTGGCATTTCCTACATGGTCTTTGGGCCATCATGGTCCCAAGGATCACGAGTATTTGCTTGTTATGGGGGTAAAATGAAGCAGGGGAGGAGGGCAGCAGTGCTGCGACATTCGCGACAGATCGTTTCCTCACTTGAGCGATTTTGCAGCCACCGCCTGAATTGCATCCAGGGACTCTTCCTTGCGTGGGATTCAGGCAAAGTGGGGTGAATTCCCTGTGTGCAGCCTGCTGTCCTCCACTGCTCCAGGTGTAGATACCCAGGACGTCCCCGTTATCTCCTTGAAACCCATCTTAGTTCTTTGTCCTTTTGGAGCTCAGGTGACATAGTGGTGCTTGCAGGCAGATCGTGCCAAAGGACATCACACTGCCGCTGCCTTGGCCACTGAACGTGGAAATCCCGTTGGCTTTAAATTCGACACTGCTCCAAAGGGCTGTGGTTCGGGGTTGAGGATGTTACCCCAGATCACCAGGGGGAAGGTGGCAGGAGGGGAAATGACCCCAACCACTCGTTTCTCTTCCCATTCCCAAGGCTCTTCTTTGAATGCCCTTGTCGCCATGGGCTTTTCTGCTTGGGCCAGCACTTCCCAAATGTGCCATTCAACTTCAGTTCCCATCAGCCCCAGTAGTCAGAAATGGTGGTCAGGAATTCTGGGAGTTGCAGTCTGCAGCATCTGGGGGGCAACAGGTTGGAGAAGCTGGCCCGGGACAACAGCTGTGAACCCCAAACCACAATTTGCATGTTTTCTTTCTCCTGGATGGCTTTGTAGGGGCACCACTGCCTCACTCCTGCAGCGTTAGGCGCAAATGATTATTTGAGAGCTTGATTTACTGTGAGGAAGGGCTGCAGGAGATTCTTTTTGTTTTGTGCTTTTCTGTGTGTGTGTGTGTGTGTGTGTGTGTGTGTGTGTGTGTGTGTGTTGGCCTCGTTCTCGGGGTAAAGGAAAGAGTTAAGTTAGAGTGATTGGGTTAAAGTGTCAAACTTGCAAAAGCAGAATGCCTTTAACTTGTGAGCTTGTGCTCCTGATTTGAATGAATAAAGGGACACTTTAAAAAATAAAAATAAAACACAAACCTTCTCAGTGTCTTATTATTACATGGGGAGTCCTGGTGGTACATTTGCTTCATTTCATCAGCCCTCCCCAATTTGCTTCCCTCCAGAGGTTGGGCTGCAACTCCAGCGGCCATGATGGGAGTTGAAGTCCAGGATGTCTGGCAGGAAACCAGATTAGGAAAGGCTGCCTTGGAGGAACGGTGTTTCCTTTGCAGGAGAAGGAAACAAACCCTGCACTTTAGCAGATCATCATGTCCTCAGGAAAGCAGATTACAAGCAGAATTGCTCTGCAGGATCAGATTAAAACACATTTAGTGCTGTGTCCCTGGCCAGGGCACCCAGAGACATACTTACCGGCTAGGCAATCACCCTTTCTTAAGTGTTGCCTGTGGCATCTGGGATGTTGAGGTGGGCATTACAGCCGTCAATAAACTTTCCTTCCATCAATGTAATCCTTTCAGAAAGAAATCCCTAGGGATGCATCTTATGGGGGGGGGGGGCGGTGTTGGGGACCCAGCTGGAAGTCTATGTTCTTTGCCCCTTCCCTCACACACACCTTTTATGCATAATATCACAGAACAGTAGCGTTGGGGCCATGATGACCACCAGGTCTCACCCCCTGGTAGGGGAACTGTGGACTTCAAACCACCCCTCTCAGAGGGCCGTTTAGCTGCCTCTTGAATGCACCCAGGGTGGGACAGCCCATGACTTCTTGTTCCATGATCCTCTGGGGTTGGAGCCAGGTATTTTCTGAGGATGTGCAAGATTGTTGCCCACCAGCATAAGGACACATGGGCAAACTTCCCCACAAAGCTTAAAAAAGTCACAGGTCTGTGGAATCTGCTCAGCTGCTTGGAAACTGCTGATCCCCTGCAAAAGTCACAGGTCGAACTCATAGCGCTCCGAACTCACTCGCCAATTTACCCAGCATTCCTGTTTAGCCCATAGAGCAGCTGGTCCTGGTGGATCAGCACCTTTTCTGAGGCTGGGCTCCTGTTTCCACGAGTTAGATGCACAAGCTTGAGGCTGGCACTTGGAACCTCAGGGAGCTGGGGCTACCGTCGGAGGTTGGAGGATACAGAAGGGGCATGCCAGGCTGTTCCTGGCGGGGGGTGCATATCCTCACAGTGGGGCAGTATAAAATTAGAGTCTTCTCCAGGCTGAAGAGATCCAGTTCCCTCAGTCTCGCCTCATATGGCTTCCCCTGCAAACCGGCCCCCAACCTTGTGGCCCTGCGCTGCACTGGCTCCAACCTGGCTATATCCTTCCTGTAATGAGGGGCCCAAAACTGAGCACAATACTCCAGTTGCGGGCGCACCAGTCATGTAGAGTGGCAGTAATGCCTCTCTTAATCTAGCAGCCACACTTCTGGCTATGAAACCAAGGGTGGCGTTCGCCCTCTAGATCACTGCTGACTCATGTTTAGCCTGCAGTCAACCAGCACCCCGAGGTCCCTTTCACAAGTGCTGCTCTCCAGCCAATTGTCCCCCAACCTGTACTTATGACACCCATTCCTATGCCCCAAGTGCAAGGCCTTGCACTTGTCCACATTGAACGCTGTTGTCTCCTGCCCACTTCCATAGTCTGTCCAGATCCTTTTGGATCTGGAGTACCTGCTCCTCACTTGTGGCCACTGCCCCAGTTTTAGTATTGTCTGCAAATCTGATCAGCAGGCTGTTCACCCCTTCTTCCATGTTACTGATGAAAAGGTTAAACAGGATCGCCCCCGGACAGAGCCCTGGGGGATCCCGCTTGTCACTGGCCGCCATCCTGATGATTCCCCACTAATGGTTACCCTCTGCTTTCGGTCAGTCAACCTTGCCCTAATCCAGAGTTGCTCAAACTTTTTCAACAGGGGGCCAGTTGAAAGTTGGTGGCGGTGGGGGTGGGCTGGTGAGGTGGGGGTGCCCACGCTCAGAGATTGTTTTCTCTGAGTGAGTCCAGAAAGAGCGAACAAGCAGCACAGTGAGGCAGGTGGCAGCGGCCGCGGGGAGTCCAAAACCTATGAGGTGAACCAGATAAATGGGCATGGTGGGCCAGATCTGGCCCACAGGCTGTAGTTTGAGGACCCATGCCCTAATCCATCGGACAGTGCATTGGTCTACCCCAAAACTCCTCAGTTTCTCCACCAGGATACCATGGGGCACTTTGTCAAAGGCCTTGCTGAAATCCAGGTAAACCACATCCACTGCATCCCCTCCATCTAGCCACCTCCGAACCTTGCCGTAGAATCCCACAAGGTTTGTCTGGCAGGACCTGTTTTTTGCGGAAGCCGTGTTGTGTGGCCGCCAGCTGCCCTTCCCTGTCTAGCATCACTAGATCTCTTGCTATTATGAGCCTTTCCATTGTCTTTCCTACATGGATGTGAGGCTAACATAATTCATCGTGTCCCTTTTTGAAAATTGGGACCACTGACACCACCCTCCAGTCCTCTGGAACTTCACCCGTTCTCCACGAGGCCTCAAACATGGAGGCCAGCGGGCATGAGAGAACCCCTGCCAACTCTCTAAATACTCTCGGGTGTAACCCATCAGAGTCCGGAGCCTTTGTAACATCCGGTGTCCTGAGGAGCCCCTCAACTTCTAGGGGGGTGGCTCTAATCTGTGCCCCTAGGTCCCCGGCCTCATCTAATCTCCTATGCGGATCTCCCCCGTCCTGCTTTGGGGAGAACACAGAGGCAAAATAGTCATTTAGCATCTGTGCCTGTTCCCTCATATCAGTCTCTGGTTCTCCTTCCTTCTTATTTAGTGGTCCCACTACTTGTCTCCCCTTCCTCTTGCTATTTACATGCTGATAGAAGCCCTTTTTGTTGCTCCTGATACTCTTTGCAAGTCTGTCCAGACTGAATAAAACCCTACAATGTCCAACATTCTGTGCAAGCTGTTATAAGACTTTTCAGTCTAAATATGTGTAGGATTCCACCTGAGCCAACTTTTTACTGCTGAGCTGATTTTTCCTCTCCAGAAGAGACACGACAAACTTGTGCATAGATCACGGCCCAGCACGCACCTTCACGTACAGTCTTTAAACAGATCCTACCACAAAACCTTTTTCATACCTATGCCTTCCAGCTTTCTCAGTATTCGACGATAAAACCTTGGTTTCCAGATATTCGCTGCTTTACACTGGTGGAACAAGAAGCAATTCCTGGTGCTGGGGCACAAGCCCACAAACCTTTTGTTCCAAACAGCATTTTATGGGGAAATGGGATGCGGGGGAAGGTTAAAAGTCATCTACCCCCTTACAAAACAGAAAAAACATTTTCAAATGTATTTATTCCAAATTCCATGCGAGGCTGGGTGGTGATCGATGTGACTTTAAGATCCACCATCCACAGGGAAACCTTCCTCCACTTGGTGCCTTTCAGCTGTATTCACTCCAGGTCCCATCATTCCCAAATGCTGGGAGCAATTGTCCCTTCTCAGCCAAGCGTGTTTTCCCACGATCTCTCTGCTGTGCTTTCCCTCTCTCTTTGGACATTTTCCTTTGTCCTAACCAGTATCCAAAGCATGGCCATTTTCCCCCATGTGGACGCCAGTCCCCAGTTCCCGGGCTGACACTGGTGCCACTTTTCCAGCTCTGCAATTTCCTTTCGGGAACAGACAACTGGAACAGCACACCCCATTCCCAGCACGACTGCCATATTGCCCAAAAGGCTGTGCTACTAAGAAAACGGCGCATCTCCTTGTCTGCTCCCCACGGCGCCTCCCACCTGCCCGTCCTCAGCAGCGGCACTCAGTGTTGCGCTGGTCCCCTCCACGTGCATGTGGTTGTAGTCCCCAATCTGAACCATCTGGGCGTTCTGAATGATGAGCTGGGGCGGGGGGCCTCCCGACACAGAGAACATGAGCGAGTGGGGATGGCCGGGCCCAGCCGGAGACTGAGACGGCCCAGGAGCCGGGAACCCCGGGTGAAAGGGCAGCTGTGGGACGTGGCCCGGGGGCCCCGGCACCATGGGAAAAGTCACTGGTCCCTCCGGGCTCATGCTGAGCACAGACAGGTCTCGCAGCGCCTGGCGGAACTGGCGCTGCTCCTCCTGCTCCTGCAATTGCCGCATGCGGGTCCAAATCGCCTTCTTCTCTCGGATCGCCGCGGCCGTGAAGGTCTTCTTGACCCGCTTGGCAAAAACGGGCGAGTTCTCATCCAGGGGCACGAGCCCTGCCAGCAGGATGGGCATCTCCGTTCTCTGGAGGGGGCTCTTCTTGGGCATGAAGGGGATAACCGAGTGGGACTTGAGGAAGCGTGTGAAGGAGTCCATCAGGGCCACGCTGGTCTGGTAGGCGCAGAGCCGGCCCCTGAAGTTCTCTGTCAGCAGCAGGAGAGTAAAGGCCGAATTCTCCAGCGCATCCTGGAAGCAGCTGAGCTGGCAGCGCCCAGGAAGAAGGAAGTCCTCACAAAAGGTTGCCCCGTTGGAGACGCCCATGGATTCCAGACGCTCCTTCACCTGCCTGGCCACGGCCTCGTCTTCGCTGGCATGCAGGACCATAAAAGTGAAGAACTGCTTCTCATCACTGAGGGAATCTGTCCAGGAGGACTCTGCTGGAGGAGGAGGAGGAGGAGCAGCAGAGCTCGAAGCAAGCTGTCCTCCAGGACCGGTGCTTTGTGCTGGAGAAGAGGCTGCCCCTGAGCCCCTTTCGATGCAGTCTGGAGAAGCTCCGGAGCCTTGTCGCGATGTGGGCGAGGGTGGCCGATTTCCAGGGATGCCTCCTCCGAGGCCGTGTGGTTCTGGGCTCTTCAGGGTGTGCCATTCAGCCTCACCTGGCTGTGCTACTTTAGGGTGAGCAGGAACCAACAGAGAGGAATGGCTGCCTTGGGCATCATCAGTCCCCCTGTTTGGGGTCTGGTATTTCTGGGGAAAGTCCTTCACGGGGCTCTCAGAGAGAGAACTGTGGTTGGCTTTCGCTTTGCCAGTGGGTGTTGAGGGGCTGGGGGCGTTTTCATTCAGCTCACCAGTCTCAGGGACGCCGTGCTGATGAGGCGGATTGGTGACAAACGGGGCTGTCAGGGACTGGCTGATCTCGAAGTGACTGATGAGAGAGACCGGGCTGCCAGTGGAACGCAGGGCCACAGGCTCCCAGGAGCTGCTGGCCAGTGCGGAAGAGCCTGCTGTCAGGGAACTGCCTGCCTGAGAGGCCAGCGGATGGCTTGCCTTGTCCAATGTGAAATCGGGCCCACACTTCTCCAGGGCCTCGTTCCAGAGACTCTTCAGCGCGACCTCCCCGATGCCGCTCACCTGGACGGCTTTGATGGCCTCCCGGTAGGCCTCATCTCTTACTTGGGGCAAGCAGAATCGCTCCTCCTCGAGGAGTGAGTAAATCTGCGCCACCACCACCAGCGCCTCTTGATTCAGGAGAACCGGGTCAGCCCCGATCCTCTCCGCGCTGCCCCAGTGGCTCCGGAAGATCTGGGCGACCAGGGCATCCTCCCCCAGCGCCTCCAGGCTCGCCCGGGCCTCCGCCTCCTGCTTCAGGGTCAGCTGGATCATGGCACGCAGGAGCTGGCACGGCCTCCGGTCTCGCTGCCTGCCGCTCAGCCGGTGCGCACAGCTCAGCAGCCTGTCTCCCGGGACCCGCTGCAGCACCTTGAAGATGCCCTCCAGGCTCAGAGGGGCCTCAGCGCTCTCCGCCATCTCGCCACGTGGCCCGGCCAGGCCCAGAACATGCTAGGACCTGCAGCGGCCACGGCGGTGCCAAGGGGAGGAGCACGCAGAAGGGCCCACAGGCGTGCGGGAGGGCATGCTGAGGCACCCCCGCCTTCCCGGCAAAAGGCCCCTCTGTCTTGTCGCTTCGGTTTTCGGCGGTCTTTCCCAGATGGGGCCTGCGTCCCTCCTTTTGTCCAGCGCTCTGCTGGCCTGCAGCTTGAAAAGGAAGGGGGAAATATTGGACACAACTCTGGGATAGTCAGGGCAGCCTAAGTGAGGGGACGGCACTCGCACTGCAGGACTGGAGTGCTCCCCTGTGCCTGCCCCCCACGGATGTATCTATCCCAGAGACCAGGCTGGGGAACCATGTTTACGTGGACGCTAGAGACCTGCTATGGGCGAACCCACAGTCAAAGTGTGGGAAGACACCTTCCTTTTCCCTCAGCCTGCCAAGTACCAGGAGAAAACAGGAGCCCGCCTTCACTTTTCCATCAGCTCCCTCCTTCATCCAGCCATCACCTGTGTTGTTTCCAACCCCACCAGCCACAGAATCTACCATTTCCATTCCTAAGTTTGCATTTTCCGTTTCCCCCCCACACCCTCCTCATCCTTTTTTTCTTTCGTGTCGTGTGTTTTTAAAGATTTGGAACCCTGAACTGCAGCTTCTTCAGTGGAAGGGTGAGATTCATATAAAAAAGCAAATAATAAATATTGATTTATTTACGCTGGACCTGGTTTTCTCGACAAGACAGGAAGATGGTGATCTGAGGGTGAGGAATTTGTGTCTGACTCCCCTGTCATGGTCAGACCACTTCCTCGTGAGGTTTGAGCTTGATGGTGGCCTTTCCCTCTGTAAGGGTGGGGACCTGATTGTGTTGGTCCGCCCCTGGAGCTGGATGGATCCAAATGGATTCCTGAAGGCCCTCGGGGAGTTTCCGGCTGACAAGACTGGTGCTCCTGTCGAGGCTCTGGTCGAACTGTGGAACGGGGAGATGACCAGGGCTGTGGACATGATCGCTCCTAAGCGTCCTCTCCCACCGGGCAGAGTCCGCTCTTCCCCTTGGTATACACCTGAATTGCAGGTGATGAAGTGGGTTGGGAGACGTCTAGAGCGTAGGTGGAGGAAATCACGGGGTGAATCTGACTGAACACACTTAAGAGCCCATTATCGGGCCTATGCTGTGGCGGTGAGGGCGGCGAAGAAGAAATTCTTCTCCACTTCCATTGCTTCCTCACAGTGCCGTCCAGTGGAACTTTTTTGGGTGGTACAGGGGCTGGTACAGCCAGGTCCCAAGAAAGATCCTGTACCACCCTCGATAACCTGCTGTGATGACTTTGCCCAGCATTTGAAGGAGAAAGTTGCTCAGATTCGTCACGAGCTGGACTCCACTAGTGACTCAGATTCCTTAGGGGAGGTGCCAATGTTGCCATCTGGTCACACATTGTTGGATGAGTTTCAATTGTTGCTGCCTGATGATGTGGACAAAGTGCTTGGACAAGTACGTCCCACCACCCGTGTACTGGACCCCTGCCCACTGTGGCTACCGTCCAGAGCCAAACACGGGATTGGTTCCTGAATCCGGGAGGTCATCAACACCTCTCTTAAGGACAGCCGGGTACCTGCCCCTCTAAAGGAGGTGGTGGTCAGACCGGTACTAAAGAAGGCGTCCCTGGATTCAGAGATGGCCGCCAGTTATAGACCAGTGGCCAACATCCCATTTTTGGGCAAGGTGCTGGAGCGGGTGGTGGCGGGACAACTCCAAGCTCTCTTGGGTGAGACTGATTATCTGGACCCATTCAGTCCGGCTTCAGACCCGGGTACGGTACTGAATCCGCCTTGGTCACCCTGTAGGATGACCTGTGCAGGGAGAGGGACAGGAGGAGTGCATCCCTGTTAGTCCTCCTGGACCTCTCAGCGGCTTTCGATACCATCAACCATGGTATCCTTCTGGATAGGCTAAGGGGGTTGGGAGTCGGAGGTTCTGCTTGGCAGTGGTTCTGCTCCTACCTTGATGGCTGATTCCAGAAGGTGGTGCTGGGGGACTATGGCTCTGCGCCATGGCAGCTATGCCATGGAGTACCGCAGGGCTCCATCTTGTCCCCCTTGCTATTCAACATCTACATGAAACCGCTGGGAGAGGTCATCTGGAGGTGTGGGCTGCGGAATCATCAGTACGCTGATGATACCCAGCTCTACCTCTCGTTTTCCACCAATCCAGGTGAGGCAGTGGCTGTACTGAACTGGTGCCTGGCCGAGGTAATGGGCTGGATGAGGGCCAACAAACTGAAGCTCAATCCAGACAAGCTGGAGGTCCTGTTGGTGGGTGGTTCGAGCTCTGGGGTGGGGGACCTGGACCTTGTCCTGAATGGGGTTGCACTCCCTCTTAGGGACAGGGTCCTCAGCTTGGGAGTGCTCCTCGACCCTGAGCTTTCACTGGAAGCTCAGGTGACAGCGGTGGCGAGGAGCGCCTTCCTTCAGCTTCAGCTGATCCATCAGCTGCGTCCCTATCTGGAGAACGATTGCCTGGCGACAGTGACGCATGCATTGGTTACTTCCTGGTTGGATTTCTGTAATGCATTCTACGTGGGACTGCCCTTCAAGAAAGTCCGGATACTTCAGATGGTGCAAAATAGAGCAGCCAGGTTGCTGACGAGGACTGGGCATTATTCTCATATAACCCCAGTCCTCTACCAGCTGCACTGGCTCCCCATCGAAGTCCGGGATCAATTCAAGGTGTTGATAATTACTTATAAAGCCCTTAACGGCTTGGGACCCAGATACCTGAAGGAACGCCTGCGGCCATATTTGCCCTCCTGCCCCTTGAGATCGGCAGCAGAGGCCCTCCTCTGGGAACCCTCCGTGAAAGATATTTGGAGGCAAAGTACCCGGAGGAGGGCCTTCTCTGTGGTGGCGCCCCATCTATGGAATGTGCTCCCCAGAGAGGTCCGCCTGGTGCCATCGTTATTTGTTTTTCGGCGCCAGGCCAAGACCTTTTTATTCAAACAGTATTTTAATAATCCTTAATATTTATAGTTTTAATTGTGCAGCCAGTGTGTTTCCAAGTTTTAATTGTAATTGTAATTGTATTGTTTTATTTATTTGTTGATGTGAGCCGTCCTGAGGCTATGTAGCAATGGGGACGGCATATAAAAACTTTAAATAAATAAATAATAATAATAAAAAATATATAACTACATTTAACAAATAAGAAATAAATTTGTTTCCTGCTGCGCCTAAATTCTCATTGTGAATGCATTCTCCAATGTGGATGTTCATGTAAACCTGCAGTGGCATGAAAGGGGAGCAGCGAACACACGGATGACACAGATGGGAAGAGGAACACTTCTGGAATAACCGCTGCTGCTTAGTTTTAACTCCTGTTGCAAAATGGCCTGATCCCCAAATATTGAAACGTCTTGGCAGCATTTCACGGTTTCACTTTAGGAGTTGTGTTCCATGTCAGCATTAACCTTGTGTGGTAAACCTCTCCCAGTCGTCACTCTCTGCCAAACCTGGCAGTGTTAGTCCTGGAAAGGCCTGTTGTTTTATTCCACATGGTAAAAGGCAGGGAAAAGAAAAGATTTGCATATGCTAATTACCATGGGCTCTAAAAGCCCCTGTCTTCCAAGGACTGTGTCTCCACAGAGCACTCCTGTTTGCAAAAGGGGTTGCCTGGACAAGGAGGGGGTCATTTGATTTCAGGAGGGAAAACCCCCAGAAAGATTCGGTGGGGGCAACAGGAAAAAAACACTTACTAATCCAGGAGGATCAGGTGCAGCACAGATCCGCAGGGGGTCTTTATGTAGACACGTTCCCCTGGACAGGGATCTGGGTCTCTGGATGGAAGACCGTGGGTTTCAGGCCTGGGTGGGTTGCCCTTCTCGGTGTCTGAACTCCCTAAACCTAAAAGCACCCAGAACTGATAGTGTTAAGGTAGGGGTGGGACAGGCTGTGTGTTAACTCTGTTCAGGGCAGGTTCTGCAGGGTTGGGTTCAGCAGCAACATCTGAGTCAGACGTTTAAAACTTCCAGGAAACGTAGCATGGGCGATTGCCCAACAAATTTTAGCTGCCTTGAAATCCCACCCCGCTTGTTTCTAGTTCTGCTCTGTGGCGCTTTGGAGGACCCCCCCCCCCCCCAGAAGCTCTGTAGGTGCTGCAGGTCACACGTCTGTCCGGTGACAGAATTCCCCTGCTGCCTGGCCCCCGGTTCATGTCAGGAAACCAGCTTTCTACGCCTCTTCCTGCTTCGCCTACATGATCTCACAAGAACCCTGTTCTGCAGATCCTCTTCCCCATTTCGGAAGGAAGGAGCTCTCCGTCACTTGCTCAGGGCTATCCCATGAATTCAGGGTGGAGGTGAGATTATAAAGCAAAGGGTGCTGAGTTGCGGTCTGCAGCCCACATGGGAGGTTCAGACTTGGGGGCCACGGAGTGTGATGGGACTTACTCCCAGGTAAGAGTGTGTGCAAGGGATTGCGGCCTCCGAAACCTCCATGTGATACCACCCATATTGGTTCTTGAGGAGCAAGACAGGAAACCCAGCCTGTCACCGGCTGGACTGCAAGTCCGATGAGGTGGAGAAAAAGCGGCTTGGTCTGTTCTGACCCACCACCGAGTATCGTCCTGGAAGCTCAGAGGAAAGATTCGTGGGCCCCGGGGTGAAGAAACCGTTCCCGGCCAGAGCTGGCCAGAGCAGCTGTGAACGCAGGTCGGTGGCAAGTTGGGAAGGCTGGGAAGAGGAGGCCCCCATGGACATCCCCAGGGACCAGACGGGGGCAAGAGCCTTCTGCTGGGTTTTGCCTGGCGTCCTATTGGGATGAGCAGGCAGGCCAACACCCACGTCGTGCTTGTGTCCGCTTGCGGGTTGTGAACATAACGCTGGGCAAAGCGGACTCTGGCCCCTGGACCGGCAGCCCTCCGCTGTGGACCCCGCAAGCAGCTGGGACTCAGCAGTACCTTGCCAATGGGGCCGCTTTCACACCCGTGGCTAGGAACCTGTCTGTGCCGCCCTGCGGCGAGAAAGAAGGGCCAGTCGTGGCCTGAGCGTGGCGGAGCGGGGTGCATGCGGCAGAAGCGCCTGCTGTCTCCTGCACCGTGCATGCACCAAAGCACCGCGGAAGCAGCCATGCCCCACACTGCCGCCTGCTTGCGTGACTCAGCCGGCCATCCTGCTTCCCCAGTCTGGTGCCCTCCAGGTGCTTGGGGCTCCAGCTTTCAGCAGCCTAGCGATCATGGCCAGCGGTCAGGAACACTTGAAGTTTGGATCCCAAACTTCCAGAGGACACCAGCTCAGGTCAGGCTAGTACACACGAACTGCTCTCCAGGTTGGAGATGGGATTCTTTCCCAGCCCCATTTGGAGAGGCCAGGGAAAAAACTGGAGATATTCTCTTGTGAGGATCCGGTACATCCAACAGTAGGGAGCATTGCAGGATTCCAGCTGCAAGGGCTCTGCCATGGAGTTCCAGCCCCAAGGTTCCAGTCCTCATGGTTCTGAATAAAAGTTTGATTTAAGCAAGAATTTAACAAAATGCTTTGTACCAGATTGGGGCCTGTGGCTGTCAAATTCAGTGTTATCTGTCCTACGGAGCAGTGGCTTTTGGGTTCCTGGGCAAAGAATGGTGTCTCCCACAGGATCTTTTTGCCTGGACACGTCCTGGGTTGCACCCTGGCCTCCCTGAATACCAACACACACATTTTGCTGAAAAAGAAAAAATCCAACATAGGGTCTCTGTCTCCATTTCTGCCTCTTTATCTGTGCTCCAAGGGCAGTGGACAAACGCCCAGGGCCCCAAGGCTTACCTGATCTGCCAAAGAAGAGTTGTTGGAACTGCCTGCCAGCAGAGAAGGAAGAGGAACTGGGAGGCGGAAGCAGCCCAGGCACAACACAAAACCCACCCCTCTGTCCCTCCTCCTCTGCTGGCAGAGGAGGGGCAGAACCAACGGACCGCCCAGAGCAGGGAGGGCAAGAGGTGCCCCGGTTTCTTTTCCTTAAATGTTTCATTTCTTTTCCTGCTTTCTGTTTCCTGGCTCAGACATGCCTTCTTTGCCCTGCCTTGCCCAAAATGGTTCTCTCCTGAAGTGCTGGACTATAATGCCCATGATGCCAGCCAGCTCAGCTGGAGTTCACATCACATCTGGAGAGAGAGTGCCCACCCAGGCATAACTGGGCTACAGGATGTGGGGCTGAATCCTACGTGCTTTTGCCCAGGATTCTTTTGGGGGCTGCCACAAGCAACCGTCTGTTGTGTGGACCAGCCTTTGAACGGGGTCTTGGAGCCAAAACCTCAAGATTCTTCCCTCCTCAGGGGGCTGAACGGGCCACAAGAACCAAGAGGAAAACGTGTCGGTTCTGAGCTGATAGTGGTCTTTCTGGGCAGCATTGCCCTTGCAGGAATCTGGCTTTGGCGCTGATGTGTTTGCGCTTTGCATCCCCAGAAAGTCAGCCCTTGTTCGGGGTGTGTGTCCCCTGCCATCTCCCGATAGCGCCTGGACACCCCTGGAGAGTCGTGGGCAGGTGGGATAGACCACTCTTACGCACATTGGTGCCTTCTAGATGTTCTGGATACAACTCTCAGCATTCCAGACCATTAGCCCTACAGGCTGGGGCTAATGGGAGCTGCAGTTCCACTGTTAAGGGGTGCCACACTGAGGAATGTGTGTGTAGGTAATCCCCATCAAGGCAAAAGTCTGACTGGGTGCTTTCCATGTTCCGATGTTCAAAGTGTTTTTGTTGATAGAACCATGAGGACTAGAATCTTACTTTGCTTTTAGGGGAGGCCCATAGCTCAAGGGCAGGGTAGTAGCTTTGCCTGGAGGAGGCCCCTAGCTGAATCCCCAGAATTTCTAGGGAGGCTTGAAAGACTCTCACAAGAAACCCTGGGAAGATGCTGGGTGCCTCTTTCAGGAAAATGTGCTGCTTGTTTCTCTCCCACATTAATTCAGCAGCTCTGATGGTCCTCCGCCAAGGAAAGGGTGCTCAGCCCTTCGGTCCTGCTCTGGCAGTGTTGTCCTGGGTGCTGATCTGTGGCTTGCCACGCGGCTCTTGTTCGCCTGTGGCAGACCTTGGCCCAGCCCTTACACCTGGTTGAAATCCCTGCTCAGCCATGATGGGCAAACGGCCTGACAGCGCTGGCGAGCAAGTAAAAGGGGGCTAAGAGGGAGGCATATCGGCACAAAGCCCACCCTGAGCTCTTCGGCAGGAAGGGTGCCATGATAAGTAAAGCACGTGAGAAAAAATAAGCGTGGTTTGGTTCGCTTGCATTGCAAAGCAGTGCAATCCAGGAAGGGGTGCACCACACGGGTGTTCCAGCAAAGGCCTAGAAACTTGCATGCTTTTTGCAATCCCAAGTCACTTGCCAAACCCGAGGGCCTTGTGAAACACCCCGCCTTACCAAGCAGGACTTAAAAATGACTCCTCCTCGTCTGTGGAGAAGGGAATAGTTTCCAAGTGGATAGAGAGGGGAGCTTTTAAAAAGTCACTGGCTTTTCTTCTTGTAAGCCGCAGTTGTATACTAGAGGCATGATGGAGGGCCAGCAAAGGTTTATGCAGGCAAATGCATTTTGCTGCTATCTTTATAGGGTTCTTAACATTTCGACCTGTATTTGTGTTTCAATGCAAGAACAAACTGCCTCAGCCCCACTTCTATGCTACAAAATGCAGGAACCTATCTCAGAATAAAGTATATGGCTTGAGGACATTTCCATGCACTTTATTTTCTGCAGGGAGAGGAGTTAAACCAGAACTCTTTGCTGCTTAATTCTGGGTCCTGCCTAACTAGGCAACATACTTTCCCCTGAATGGCTAAACAACACCAATCTTAGTCCTCCCACCTTCAAATCCCTTCTCTCATCTACCTTTGTTAAGCATGAAGTCCCTCTCCTCCATTTGCTGTCCACATTAACCTCTACTTCAGTGAGGACTAGATGCTTGGTTTTGAAAGAAGAGTGGAGCTGGATTCTGCACTGTCCTAAATACCTTCTTTAGCAATCATGATCCGATAGTAAAAATAACACACACAGCCAGCTGGGTTATTGCTACTTTAACATGCATTGCATTGAGGAGAAAGGTCAGAAGGAAGAAATCAGTGCGCAAAGTTCTGTTTAACATAGATGCAGAAACACCAACCCTGGTAAGAACAGCCCTTGTGCAATGTAGCCCGCGTCACCTCAGCCAGTGTTTCCCAGATCTTCCATAGCCAACTCGGTCGTGCTCTCTGAATGGAAACGAGCTGGCTGCAGCTTTTCTCCGGAGAAGGGCTCCTTTTAGCATGCAGGTGACCTCCAGTGCCAGAGGGGATGAAAGGGCCGCATCGAGGGGACCTGCCGTCCTGCCTCTCGCCCCCACAGCAGGGGGCTGCCCGCCGAAACCTCCAGGAGCAGCAGTTCTTTCCTGTCCCACCGGCTTGTTCCCCAGCCAGCCTCTGGCTGAGACAACGGAGGAACAAAGGCTGGCCGGTCGTGCAAACAAGTGGGAGCCATACTGGGTGCGCTAGTCGTGCTTTGTGATTTCTGTTGTTCTTGTTGTTACTCTTTCATGAGACGAATAAATGTGAGGGATTTGGCTAGTCTTCTCTGCTTAGGATGCTCCTGCTTTCCAATGAACTTTATGACCTTTGAGGGCTACCGCCCGCAAACAATTCAGGCATAGTGGGGCCGTGGCCAGGGGCGCTGCTGCTCCATCGGGGCGTGGCTATCAGGGCAAGTTCCTGCACGTCAGATTTCCCGCTGGACCTTCTCTATTCCAAGAAGGCCCCGCCCCTTCCAGGGAAGCCCCGCCCCATTTTCTGAGCATGCCGCCTCTTGATTGGAAGGAGGCGTGGCCAGAGAGGCCATCCGCAACGAGAGCGCCCTCTACTGTCCATCCACAGGCATCCCGCCGCTCTCCCATCTTTTCCCTTCCCTTTCATTCCCAGAAGGACAGAAGGCTGCAGAAGTGGTGGGAACACATGGGAAAGTCACAAATGGAAGGCCACGTGCTCTGGAACCCCAGAACGTGCAGCGAAGAAGCAGAATAAAGCCTTGCTTGGGAGCACCGTGGGTTCTGTGATAAGAGGAGAGCAATCCCGAGCCCTTATTTTTGTGGGGCATGCAAGTTGGGACTGCAGTCCAGAGCGCCAGGGTTTCGTGATCTCCCTGGGATGAACTCTGGAGACTGTCTTTCCTAAAGCTCCCGCCCCTCTTCCACAGCCTTGAGCAGTTTCTTTGCTTTCTTGGGCACGTGGGACGCCGGGGCATCCTCTGCCCAGGCCTTGCTGGGGGTGTCCTCCATCTTGCTTTCTTCCACTTCCCCAGCCTTGTCTGTCCTCTTGGCCGATTCATGCGCAACGGCTCCAGGTGCCGTCACCTTCGGCTTCGCCTCCTCGGCCGAGCTCATCATGCTCATGCCCGTGTCTGTCGGCTCTTCTGCTGCTGCCTCCTCCTGGCCAGATGCCGATGCCTCTGCTTTTGCCACCGTGGCAGCTGGCGATGGCCGGAAGGGCCCCACAACCCAATTCAGGGGTGTGTTTTGGACCACGTGGTCCACCAGCGAGTCCAGAGCTTCATGGGCGTCGGCTATTTTCTCATTGCTCTGGGCCAGGATGCTGGAGGTCAAGTCCTGGATGGACCCAGCGGAAGAGAAGGACGTGTGGAGCTGACGGATATTGGAGATGGCCTGGTCTATCCTTTCACCGACATGGCTAGGGAGGCCTTCAATTCTGGCCACCACTTGTGTATACATTGGTCCCAAGTGCTTTGTGAGGATGCGAAGCATGGTCAGGGTACGTGATTCTACCTGCAGAGACAAAACAAGAGTTTTATTTTGGTTAGTCACGGTGGCATCTCCAGGTCCTTTCCTGCAGTTCCTCCCATAACAGAATGACACACTCTTAAATGTTGAGTATGGGTTGAGTGTGGGTTGTCACTGAACCGTAGGTTGTTGTTGAAACACAGCGGTTGTGTTGCTTGGAGCTAACCATGGTTGTTTCACCATGAGCAATTCACGGTTCATAACCCACCAACAAGCCATGTTGTAGAGATGGGGCCCGTTTCTCTCTGGAGGGAGCATTCCTAGTTGGAAGGTACAGATTTGGAATGTGAACTCGATGGCAAAGGAAAGAATTGGCACAGAGATGTCAAGGTTAATGAGTGAGATTTGCAGGCAGCTGCTCAGAACCAAACTGTCTTGCACTTGGTAGGAGAAACTGAACTACAAGGAGGGTCTAAGGAGGAGGTGGGTGAGTGCGTTCTTTAACCCAGTGAGCCTGTGCCAGGAAAAACAAGCAGCCCACCTAAGGGAGTCTGGAGTTCCCACCACCTGGCCCACATGCAGGATAAACCTCCCTGAGGATGCCGTCACTCCCGTTAGGAAAGGAGTTTCTTCAGCTTGGATTTGGTTCTTCGCATGGGCCAGAGCTGCTCCCACAAACTAGAAGGAGCGTGGCTTTGATTGATGCCACCTGAGAACAACCTTCTTGCGACCCATCCTGTATCTCAAAAACCCTGCACACCTCCAATTACAGCCTGTTTTGAAAGTCCTCTGCCGGAAAGGGAAAAGGGAGGATACACGGTCTCAACGTATGGGTTGTTTGTTAACCAACTGTGGTTTGTTAGCATGCCTGGATCCAGACAAAGCAATAACCCATGCTGCAACAACTAGCTGCAGTTCAATGACAACCCACTTTCTACCCATACTCAGCTTTTGAGCACGGATTATCGTGTTGGCTGAACTTTGCCAGTGAGGCCATCTTCTCACCACCATGGTGTCCTGCCACTAGTTCTCATAATTGCTACTGTTAGATAGATTTAGGAATTTAAACATAGCCTCTGAGCATGTACAGATTGCCTTTCCAGCATTAGCAGTAGCCTGTTCACC